TGAGTGCAGGACCTGGAGCGACTGGTTGCTTGCCTGAAGGAGGCGCAAACCCCTAAACCCCAAACCCGAAANNACCCTAAACTCGAAACCCGAAACCCCAACCCCTGTATCTTGTGCACACCATGACTGGTAAACCCAAAGCATCCCAAAGTCGTACATGCTCTAAAGCCCTAACCCCTAAGCGTGCGGGAGAAAGAGCTAGTACATTCAAAAAAATCGTAAATCCGTAAGTGCTCTGAAACCCCAAACGCTACGCTAAACTTTAGACTCAAACCGGATCCTAAAACCTAAGCCCTAAACCCTAAGCCCTAAACCCGAGACCCTAAACCCTAACCCGAAGCCCTAAACCCTAAACCCGAATGCGTTGCAGGCCCGTAGTCTTTCTTCCAAAGCGGAGATTGCGAGCGTCGGACATCTTCAGCAGACAGGAGCTTGTGACTGTGGGGCTTTTTTGGGGGGTTTTAGGGGTTTGAGGTTGAGGATTTCAGGGGTGGGGCTTTAGGGACCCTAAACCCTAAACCCTAAACCCTAAACCCTAAACCCTAAACCCTAAAGCCCTAAGCTTTAGGGTTTTCAAGTTTGGGGTTTGGATGTTTAGGGGTTTAGGGCTTTCAAGCCCTCGGGGTTGAAGGGTGTAGGGTTTCGGGTCTAGGATCTAGAGTTTAAGATGTGATGTTATGGTTTAGGGTTTAGGGTTTAGGGTTTAGGGTTTAGGGTTTAGGGTTTAGGGTTTAAGATGTGATGTAATGGTTGTAATCGCAATGCGCTACGGGAATTTCAGGCGGCTGTCCATCTGTATGTATGAGGGTCTCATGAGTTTTTTCCGCAAGGATTGTGTTACGGCATTCTCCCCTAAACCTAAACCCCAATACCCGAAAACCCTGAATCACTGAACTTGAACCCTAAAACCCTTAAGCCGCGGGCAGAGTGTAGCTGACAGCTTCAGATGCTTAATGATGGTCCTGACAGTGCCATTGCTATGAGTTGCATGTCTAGCCAGATTATGACCATAGTTATTCCTAACAAGCTGGCGCGGAAACGACCATAAACCCCAAACCTAAGACTCTAAACTAAACGAACCTAAACCCTAAACCCCTAAACCCTAAACCCTAAACCCCTAAAGCCCCAAATCGAACCCTTACGATCAGCGGTGAGATGGTCCTCAGTGCCATCCACCTGTGAAAGTCTGCATCGAACCCTAACCCTCAACCCTAAACCCTAAGCCCTAAACTCTAAACCCTCAACCCTAAAACTCGGAGGGCTGGCCAACCTGACCTGAAGCCCTGCCCCGTTGGTTCGGCCGACCAGCTGAATGAGTAAGAACCATAAGAATCATGATAAGCAGGGTTTAGGGTGTAGGTTTTAGAGTTTACATAATGATAATAACAGAACCATAAGAACCATAAGCAGGGTTTAGGGTTTAGGCTTTAGGGTTTACTTAAAGATAATAATTTAATAACAGCAATAGTAATATTCAGAATAAGGGTAATTAACAGTCATAGTTTCTAAGACAGCATCAGTGACAAGAGGTCGAAGAACAGCCACTCTGCTGCCGGCATGGCAGCTCTGAGCCCTAAACCTTAAACCCTAAACCCCAAAAGCCCTAAACCCTAAACCCTAAACCCTAAACCCTAAACCCTAAACCCTAAAACCTAAACCCCATACCCTATAAACCCTAAACCCTAAACCCTAAACCCTCTGGTGAGGAGGGAGTGAAGTTGGGCTTCACAACGAAGAGTTTCTCTCCAACTTCAGGCCGTGAGTTGCGGGCGCAGCCACACTAGTCATGATCATCATTGGGGTTTAGGGTCCAGGGTTTTGGGGTTTTGGGTTTAGGGTTCAGGGTTTAGTGTTCTTCTTGTGATAACTAGCACGATTAGGAAGGCAGCTTTTTTTTGCGAGGCGGTCCGGACGACGAAAGCTCGAGCTGCAAAGCAAGCATCAGCTCGTGCTTGCAAGCTATCGTCAGGCCAAGTCGCGAATCTTCGATTCTGTGATTTAGGATTTAGGGTTTAGGGTGTAGGGTCTAGAGTTTAGGGTTTAGGGTTTAGGGATTCGGGTTTTAGGTTTAGGGTTTAGGGTGCAGTGTTCAGGGCCCTAAACATAGAGACAGAGCTGAATCCTGGTCAGGCGGAGCACGACCGGAATGACGCGCGCAAGGCACCGAAGTCACACAATCCCTAAACCCCTCAACCCTGAACCCCTAAAAGCCAAAGCCCTGAACCCCAAACCCCCAAACCCTACACCCCTAATCCCTAAACCCCTAAGCCCTAAATCCCAAAGCCCTAAACCCCTAAACCCCTAAACCCCTAAGCCCTAAATCCCTAAACCCTAAACCCTAAACCCTAAACCCTAAACCCTAAACCCTAAACTCAAAACTCAAAACTTTAAACCAAAACCCGTAAACCCCTCAGCCCCTTGGGAGCTTCCATGCTCTGAGGCCCTCGAAGATGAGCGAGAGCGGCTGGCGAAGCTCCAGGTGCGAGAGCCCCGAAACCCTAGCCCTAGGGTTTAGGGTTTAGGGTTTAGGGTTTAGGGTTTAGGGTTTAGGGTTTAGGGTTTAGGGTTTAGGGTTTAAGCTTACCAGGACCCCTTTAAGGACCCTGTAATGGAGCCCTTATGGTCCTGAGTAGTGGGTATTTAGGGTATATTAGAGGGTAGTTGCGGGGTCTAGGCAAACCCTAAGACCTAAACCGTTTTAAACGAGCCCAAAGAGGAACCTTATAGACCCTAAACCCTAAACCCTAAATCCTAAACCCTAAACCCAAAAGGAACCTTACAAGCTTTAAACCCTGACACTCGGAGAAGTGTGAAGGAACCCCGAAAGCAGCCAGAACCCTTAAAATTCTACGCCCGAAACCGCAAACCCCTTAAAAAAACCCTTCAAGGCACCCTTAAAGAAACCCTTGAAGGGAGCTCTTAACTCCCAACTTAAACCCTAAATCCCATCAAAGCGGCCCTGAAAAGGAACCCGTAAAGGAACCCCCTAAACCCTAACGCCCTAAAGACCCTAAACCCTTAAACCCTAAAACCCTTAAACCCTAAAGGCCTAAACCCTAAAACCCTAGAACCCTTAAGCCCTTAAACCCTAAAGCCCTAAAACTCTAAAGCCCTAAAGCCCTAAAACTCTAAAACCCTTAAGCCGTAAAGCCCTAAAGCCCTAAAGCCCTAAAGCCCTAAAAATCCTAAAACCCTAAAACTCTAAAGCCCTAAACCCTCCTAGAATCCTGCTAGGAATCGTTAAAGAGGCCCTATCCCTAAACCCTAAACTCGTCTAGAATCCTTTTACAGGAACCCTAAGCCCTAAAGCCGTAAAAATCCTAAAACCCGAAAGCTGTAAGGGCTCCCATCCCCTAAGGGGCTCCCATCTTCAGCCCGCGACTCCGAGGCCGCGCGGCTCCGACTCTGCGAAGAGCGACATGCAGCGATGCAAGAGGCACTTTCTTCTTGCGTCATCTTCAAGAAGAAGAATACAACCATATACATGTGCATATATATATATATATATGTATATATTTACATAGCTGCATACATAATTGTATAGATAAGATATATGAATATATATATATATATATATATATATATGTATATATATATATATATATATATTGATATTAATATTAAGCACATACATACATATATATATATATATATATATATATACACACAGATACATACATACACGCACGGGCATATGTATATATAATACATATGTATGAGTGTGTGTGTATATATATATATATTCGCTGCTCACTTCGCGATGTTGGAAGGCGCTGAAGCTTGCCAAAGGTGTGGGCTTGAGCCCCCTCGTGCTGAAGGCAGGGCTACCTTTGCCAACCCACAGCTTCGGTGTCTGTTGTGCCAGGAACTTTGTGGACAAGAGCTCGCATCACCGACGATGAGCAAGGTATATCATGTGAGACACTCAGTGCTGGTCCCAAAAGGACAATATTAGGCACCCTAAGGCGTCCATATAGAAATAGAAGGGGCGCCTTGGCGCCTTCTATCTGTAGGAGAGAACTCAGGTGAGACTCAGTTGCGCTCCGGTGCTCCATTTCTTTGCAGGAAGCACAGGATGGGCGAGGAGCAGCCACAAGGAAGGGTGAACGGCCGGACGCTGACAACTTCAATGTTGTTTGTGACTGTGCATGCAGGGATGGGCAAGAGACTGCAGTTGTTTTCGGTGAGGTTGGTGCAACAAAGCTTTGCAGGCCCCAAGTACAAGTACATCTGCTTCAAGAATGTCTGGGTTTCTTACCCAGAGACTCCAATATCCCTTAATTAAGGAATACACCTTAAATCATACTAGGGATCCTACTATAATTTAAGGAATATTCCTTAATTAAGGAATATTGGAGTCTCTGGGTGAGCAGCACTCAGCATGATGAGTCTGGTGCCGCCATTTGTGGAGGCCTGCCTGACGTCCCTGCTGCTGGGACCACTTGGACCTCCTTCGCAGGTGGAAGTTAAACAATATTCTCCAAATGCTTGATCCGATGCTTGTCTTGGACCTCATGTGTGCACACATTGCACGAGCTTGCATGTGCTTCAGTTCCGGTTCTGCAGCTGGAACGCCTGGCTCAATAGTCGATGCGTCACAGATCAGGAAAGCAGGCACACACAGTTCTGTAGTATTTGACGAGATTCCGATACGGCCTACGATGGCACGGTAGCGTCTAGAACTTCAAGTGGCTCAGCTAGAACAGGGCCAAAAGCACAGCGACTGAACGCGAAGACGCCCCTTTTCAGAGCACCGAAGTAGCTGTAGCAGCCGGCCTGAAACCGCCGTGCTGTAGGCGCCCGGGATGCGAGAGGAAGGAATGCTGTTGCTTTTTTGGCCGGGTCGAGGGTATAAGGTGTAGGGTTTAGGGTTTGGGTTTAGGGTTTAGGGTTTAGGGTTTAGGGTTTGGGGTTTAGGGTTTAGGGTTTAGGGTTTGGGCCTGGGGTTTAGGGTTTAGGGTTTACGGTTTAGGGTATCCACTTTCTTTGCAAAGGTGCCCATGATGCGGGCAACTGGAGTGTCTTGGCGATCATTCAGAGCTGCGTCATCGTCTCACCTGGGAAGTATGATGATGAGACCCTTCAGAGGGGGGGATCCAAGGGAATCCTACAAACCAGATTGGGGCGAACCGTCGCGAAGATACGACGTGCACTGCAAGCTGCAATGAAAATAGCAGCGGTAAATGCCGCATGCGGTGGAAGAGCAGAGTGTTTGGAGATCTAACCCTAAACCCTAAAGCCTAAACCCTAAACCCCTAAACCCCTAAACCCTAAACCCTAAACCCACCTAAACCTGAAACCTAAGACCCTCAAAGGCCGTAACACCTAACCCACCCAGCCCTAAACCCCAAACCCTAGACCCTGAAGCCTAAACCCAAAGCCCAATCCCGAAATCAAAGTTGAAACGCAAAAACCAAAATTGGTTCAACACATTTCGGTCAAAACCCCGGGCCCAAACCCAAAGCCCAAAGCCCTAAGCCCTAAACCCTAAACCCTAAACCCTAAACTCTCTGAGCCCTAAACCTGCAGCCTGAATTCAGGTAATGCCGACTTCCACAGGCTTTCCGAATACCGGGCAGCCGGCCTTCCGAGTGATGAGGAGGGGCTCTGACTTAGGGGATCTTGGTTTATGGGTTTGGGTTTGGGTTTGAGGGTTTAGGGTTTAGGGTTTAGGGTTTAGGGTTTAGGGTTTAGGGTTTAGGAGGGCTCGAGGGTTCAGGGTTTAGGGTTTAAGGGTTAAGGGCTTTTAGTGTTTAGGGTTTAAGGGGTTAGGGTTTTAGGGTTTGAGAGTCTAGGGTTCAGGGTTTAAGGGTTAAGGGCAGGGCTGAGGGTTTTGGGTAGGATTCGGGTGGCAGAAGGGGTTGGGTGGTTTGGGGAATCAGCATTTAGGGGTTCAGGGATTGGGGTTTTGAGGTTTCTTCGGGTTGGCCAGGGGCTGGAGGCTGCGGAATGTGGTAATTTCGAGTTTAAGGCTTATAGGGTTTCTGTTACGGCTTATTCTAGGGGCAAATACAAGGGTTATTATATTGTTTACCATACTAAACCCTAAACCCTAAACCCTAAACCGTGGAATTCTCCTCTGTTCACTCTCCGCGTTCTGCGCTTCTTCCTGGTCTCTGCCCTTGCCTTCAGAGTGTAAGCTCGAGGCCACCCTAAACCAAGCCCGAAACCCCACACCCCCAAACCGCAGATCCTAACCGCACCAGGATCCTCGTTTAGGGTTTAGGGTTTGGTCCCAAATAATGTGCTTAGATTTTTTTTTATCTTTGGCTACTATAAACCCTAAGAAGAAGCTGAAACTATAGTTTTTGCTAGGGGTCTAAGTTCAGTATAGTTGTATACCCTCAAATAGAGGTATATGGTCGCAAAAGATGGGCATTTAGGGTCTGATAGAGGTTAGATGGAGGGTCAAGGTAACTAGCCCACAACCCTAAACCCTAAATCCTAAACCCTAAACCCAAACCCAAAGCCCTAAACCCAAAACACTAAGCCCTAAACCCCAAACCCTAAACCCTAAACCTTAAACCCAAAACCCAAAGCCCTAAACCTTAAACCCTATAGGGAACCTTAAACCCTGCTGTTCTTGCAAGGCCGCAAACCGCTGGCAACAATGTTCAGGAAGCGAGGTGCCGGATGTCCAAAAATCTGCTTGCGGTTTTGGGTTGAGGGTTGAGGGTCGAGGGTTGAGGGTTTAGGGTTTGTAAGAGTAGAGACTAAACCGTGAACCCTAAACCCCTAAACGCAAACCCAGAACCGCTACATGACACACATGTTTGAGTGCAACAGACTGTAAGTGAGGCAAGTGCAACGTGGCAAGTTGGGCTAGGAGGATTTCCGTTTTCATAGCGAAGTGTTCAGCTTTGCGTATAGTACAGAATGGACGATGCTTCTCACGAGCTGAATACCTGTACGTGCACACGCATGAAAGAGCTGGAGCTCACACAGAGTGTGCATGCGTAATTGCGTCGTAGATGACCTTATATGCAGCATCTTATCGAGCGTAGCAATGCGGAATAACATGGAGCAGAGGCAGAGGACCTAGACATATGGTCTTTGCATGCTTATGTACAGACATCTGAATGCATGCATGTGTATATATATATATATATACATACCCATACATGTAAGTAGGTCTCCAGGCGCGTATACATACCTACGTATGTCGTGAAGTACGATTTGTACATACATACTTGTCAGCAAGACTTTACAAGAGTCATTCGAGTGTCAACCGAACGCAGTTCCTCTGAGTAGGATTTGAACATCTCATTTGCTATGGCCCTTGGCTGCCAGGACAAACATGACGCAACTGTACAACCAGATTCTTGGCTCGGTTGTGTGGCAAGAATTCGCGAGTCACTCGTCAGTGTAATCCCTCCTGCTTTCTTTAAGGATGTCACCAGCGCAGCAAGAAGACTTTCCGCTACCGCCTTTGCCAAACATGCCAGACGGGGCTTCCACACCACCGGCATCCACGTATCCGCGAGATGCGCGGCCCAGGAGCCCCAGGGTCTCCCGACCGTTGACCCCCACAGGATGCCGCACCCCAACGGCCCCTGCTCCACCTGGAGCTCCACCGGGGATGCCTGGGCACGTCCCCATGGGTATGCCCCCGGCCATGCCCCCAACCGAAACGGTTCCAGGAGCTCGTACACCCCGCAACGGCGCCCGCACACCCGTGAATGGCTTCAGCGAGGCTCACCGGAACAGCGTTGCCATCCAGCCCGGCACGCCTTGCCGCGTCGTCACCCCGCGCGGCGGTGCAACTCCCACCACGGGAGCTGGACCCGGCACAGCTCCCTTGGGTTCGGTGCCCACCATGGGGGGACTCATGGGACCTGGACCTATGGGACCCATGGGATCCATGAACCCCGGACCTTGCACTGCGACAACCCCAGCGCGATATGCGAGCGGCGCCACTCCACGTGGAGGCACCACTCCACGTGGAAACCTCACACCCCGTGGAGGAAACCTCACTCCTCGTGGTAGGCCGGGAAGCGCCACGCCACGCAGAGCTGGAGGGGTCACCCCACCCATCTCAAGCGTGCAGCGGTACAACGAATATGGGCAAGCAGAGGATGACGGGTTCATCGTGAACGGAAGCTGGGCGCAGCCCCAGCCCCAGCAACCAGGGCACTTCCAGGCCCCGATGGCTGCGCCACCGGATGCCTTCTTTGTGCCAGAGCCTCCAACACCCCTTGGCCCAAGTGCACTTCCATGGTTGCCATCGAGACGACCTGAAAATGCGGATTTCAAGATGCTGGAGAAGAAGGAGTTCCTTTCCAAGCTCGATGAAGTCTGCGACGCATTCCAGCCGGACGAGGTGCCGATTACGGGGCTGTCGCCAATGAGCGAGACCCCAATCTCACCTCAGAACACATTCAAGATGGCTGTGGCCCAAAGCTCTTTGAGCACTTTGCTGGAGGAGGCGATGTGGAGCGGACCCATCCGCCACATGGCCATCTGCGTGATGGCACGAAGAGTCATAATGCTTGCGGATGCCATCCGGAACAACACGGAGACTCCAGGTGGCAAAGACCTGATGGTGGCCCTCCTGACGTCGGTGAAGCAGATGTGTGCTGCCAACACCAATGATGTGTCGGTGAGCAAGACCGCGAAGTTCAGCGGACGGGTGATTCTGCTGCTCGGGTCCGCGAGCTGCATGCCAGAGCAACTCATCAAGCAGTGTGGCGAGCGCTACCGACAGATCGACCCTTAGTTAGTCAATAGGAGAACTTTAAACTTTTTGGCCTTATATATTTGGTCTATCCTAAAAAGTTTGAACTTTTTTGGGCCTGGTTGTTGAAGAGAGGACCAGAACTGCATGATCCTGGCCTTGTCCATGGGAGCCGAACCTGCCGGATCGGCTCAGCTTGGCAAGGCCATGGCACTGGCAGTGAACGCTTGGGGCGAGGCGGAGGAAAAGTACGGCCCACCTGGCACAGCAGGCGGTGCCGGACGACCGGAATTGCTGGTTCACCTCTTTGGGAGTGCGGGATTCCATGCCTGGGCCAAGACTTTGCGCATCTGGTACGAGCAGTCCTACTATCCCGACCAGCGACGACTCCAAGGCTGGGCTTTGGAATACCATACTTTAATACTTTTTTGGCGGATCTGTTTCCTTAAGGAACCATTATGAAATAAAAGTCTATACTTTTTTCTCCCTGGTTACTTCAAAGCCCAGAAGGACGAGTTCCGACGATGGACAGGGTCTTGAGAGGGGTGATCCTGGACTCTGCTCCAGGCGGGAAGACCGGGAGCTTGTGTCCCTCTTGTTGTTGACCATGGTGTCGCGACCCGACGATGATGAGGATGATGATGATAATGATGATGATGATGAGGATGAGGGTGA